CCCGCCGGCGGCATTGGCATTTTTTTTTTTCCCCCCGGGGGGCCTTTTGTCCCTCGGGGGGGCGGCTCCCCCCCCCCCCCCACCCCCCCTCTCCGCTGGCAGGTGGACGACGTTTGAGAGCGCCGTGAGCACCGAGGCGCTCGCGCGCCTCGCCTACTTCCCAGGGCTGGGCAAGCTGCTGGAAGAGCGGCTGACGCCCAAGGTCGTCGAGATCGACGGCGAGGGGCCCCGTGTGGCGGAGATGGAGGACCGCGCCGACGAGGGGATGGGGCCGCGTAACAAGCGCGTGATCGCCGCGATCGAGGCGGCGTCCTTCACGGGCAAGGGCGACAAGCCGGTTGTCGTCCAGCTGTACCGTGCCTACGCTGCCAAGGTGAACAACGCGATGGTTGACTCGGGCGAGGCGCAGCAGGGGGAGTACGAGGGCGAGTACAACGCGGCGGGAGAGTACGAGGGGCGCGGCGTCTACCGGTACGCCAGCGGCAACGTTTACGACGGCGAGTGGAAGGCGGGAGAGCCCGAGGGGCGCGGCGTCTTCCAGTACGCCGACGGCAGCGTCTACGACGGCGAGTACAAGGCGGGTAAGATGGAGGGGCGCGGCGTCTACCAGGCCGCCAACGGCAACGTTTACAACGGCGAGTGGAAGGCGGATACGCCGGAGGGGCGCGGCGTCATGCGGTACGCCAGCGGCAACGTGGAGTCGGGCTTCTACAAGCAGGGTGACCCCGTCGGCGAGGGCGTCATGTGGATGGCGGACGGGCAGGGAGCGGCGCGGCTGCGTGACGGGGAGGAGGAGGAGGAGATCTCGCTGGAGGAGGCGCAGCGGACCGCCGAGCGGCTCGGGCTCCCCCTCCCCTCCCCGCTGCCCGGCGCGTGAGAGGCAGCACTCTTAGCGAGAGCACCCGTGGAACTCATGTTCTCTGTGCGAGAACCGAGCCGCGACCTATCTCTTTTGAGTCGGCGGCGGCGGGGGAGGCTGCCGGTCCCCGCCGGATTCCTTCCGGGGCGGGACCGGAAGTTGGGCCCGAGGGGCCGAGGGGGGGGGGGGGGGGGTGCAAGCCATGTGCTCGGGGCCGGTCCGGCGTCCGCAAATTCCTGGATCCCCGACGGGGTGGCCCAAGGGGGGGGGGTGCCGGGGGAAAATGGCTCTCCAAAAAACCCCTTGGGAAGGGGGCCCGGGGTCTCCCCGGAGCCCCCCGCAAAAAAACGATAAATGTGGAAATTCCCCCGTGGAGCAAAAAAATGTGGAAAACCCCAGGTTTTTCCTAAAAAAGGGGGGGCCCCCCGGTTCCTTTTGGGGTTCCCCACGCGGGGCCCCAAAATGAAAGTTGAGAACCTTAGCGGTTAGAGCTTTCCGCTTAAAAAAACCACC